AAAAATTAAAAATAAAACCAACTTTATTTATTTAATTTATGCATTTCTTTGGTGCAGGATCTCGCTATGCACTCAGACTCAGTGATGCTTCTGTCTCAGCCTCCCCAAAACTGGGATTACAGGTATGCGCCACCACGCCCAGTGTCAGTGGCCCAATCAGCACGGGGGCTGGCATGGCATATGGTACTGTGGGCCGAACCCTGGTCCTTTGTGCTTGCCAGGCAGGTGCCTGGACTGCCCAGGTATTTCCCCAGACCTAAACGCTTTTAAAATGTGGAAGAGTAAAAGACAGATTGCCATGAACTCCCCTCAATATAATCCCCTTCGCGTTGAACACATTTATCATATCACTCTTGCCACTTGCGGAGGCAGTTCTGGAGCTCCTCCTTCATAAGTGTCTTTCCAAGGTGTGATCAAAAATGCAGTTAAGGCTGCGACCAAACGCCATCCATGGAAAAGCAGTATCCTGAAAACATTGGTGTGTCCTCATCCACCTAATCCCAGAGGTCTGGCGCCATGAAACTTCTGGCTCTACCCCAAAGCCAAAATTATAAGCAAAGATAATTGTTTCAACATTGAGACAGCCCTGAAAGCATAGTAGACACTCGCAAAAGAGGACTTCCAGAACGGTTCCAGAAAGTGACAAGAAAAACAGGATGTGTATGTTCAAAGTGAGATGTGTTTTGAGGGAATTAATGAGAATGTATCTTCTACTGTAATAATTTTTAATTTGAACATTCACTGTATTTTTATCACACCTCATATTCTTTAGGAAGAAATTTACATTTATAAGCAAATTATAAATTTTGCACATATTCATATTCCAAAATAAAAGCCTCTGTAAAATAACTAATACTAGGATATCAGAATGTATTAATATATTAAAATAAGTTTCACAATGAAATAATTAACCTAGTATAGGTAGAATATTACAGACTTGTGGCCAGATAAAGCTCAAGCTTTTTTTTTTTTTTTTTGCATAATTTGTGAAAATTGTCTTTTACCAAGTGAAAGAGGATTTTAAGCAGAGTAATGTTTATAAATTATATAATGTTTTAATGTTTATAAATTATATAATGTTTATAATTATATAATGTTTTAATAGCATAAACGGAGAATATTTATGCTATTAAAAAATCAAATTCCAAGCTATTGGAATCACGCCCTGTTTTGTTTCTCTGTGTGGTGATCTTTTCACAGTGCTCTTACAAGCTACCTTCAGCTTCAGCACGATGCTAGGGGCTGGGGAGGGGTAGAGGGTTTCCCAGGCAGTGTTCACAGGGGCGGCCAGCCAGCCGGGCGACTCCCCGCAAGCACACGGTGTGCTTGTGCACTCTCTCGCCACCTGCTGCCCTCTCTGTTTCCTCAGACCACTCCTCGGTAGCAGCCCTGTTGAATGACTTAGATAAAAGAACGCAGGTTTGGGAAGCAGATCCTTCACAGCCTACTTACACATCAACTTCTTGAAGCCTTCATACCTCACCTCTAAAATAAAGCTTTAATAAACCTCACCTCAAAAGATTACTGTGATAATTTAACAAGACCGATTATTATAAAACATAATAATATTTCTAAGTCTAAATGGTTAACCAAATGCTGGCAATTATTTTCCTCTCAGAAAGATCCAAAGAAAATTCCATCAGGTTGTATTTGACTTACTGTGTAAAACTCATATTTTAGTAAACATGTGTTTAAACCAATCATTAATACTGCATAATTCAAACTCCCACTCACATCAAAATGGATTTTCTCCCTATGGTCAGTATGGCCTTGCTAAGCAGTTCAGGCTGGTCTTGAACTCACTGTGTAGCCCAGACTGGCCTCAAACTCAGAGCAACCCTCCTGCTTCAGCCTTCCAAGTGTTGGGACTACAGGTATGTGCTACCATGCCTCACCTGTATCTTGATAACATTTAAAAACTAAAATTGCAATAGATTTACTTTAGATATTTTAACAATGTGTCATAAAAATTAAAAAAGGTTCAGCTGTAAATTGCTAGATTTATTTTTCAGTTGTAATTGAAAAGGCTTCAAGTGGGCTGAGGCCAAGGTAAGATGGAAGGAAGATTGTCCTTGGCTTGGCTTGGAGGGTTTCAGGCCTTGAGCTAGGTGCTAGGTAGAAACTGAGAAGAAGGAGACAAACAAGGGTGCCCAGCAGTCCCACCCAGAGACAGCCCTGAGCACTCTCTCAAAGGTGCAATTCCTCTGTCATATCTTATACACTAAAAGAGCATCCTGCTTTAAAGCTGCAAACAAACCTCAGAAAGTCTTTTCTTTGAGAATATCTTCAGGTACCTCCTAATAACTAACTAAATTAACTAGTTCCGTTTGACAAAAACCTTTATTGACTTTTTAAGATAGGTAGGCTATGAGGCCTAGAAATGTCTATTTTCTTAAATTTCTTATATTTCTTAATTTACAGCTATTTATATAGATCTTAACCATATTACCTAATTATTTTTCTTTCAGTATTTTAAATAGAGTGTTCGCCAACAACCACATTGAATTTTGTTAATAATGAACTCAAGACGTGAGCGTCTGTGATCCCTTTACACCAACCTTAGGCATTTTAAAATAATTCCATCTTCTTCAAGGCTGCACACTCACCTTGAGGATCAACATCTTTAGCGAGCTTCAGTGCATCTGAGTTTGCAAGATCGGTGTTGGCTGGGGTCACAGCCAAAATCAGACAGTTTTCCCTTGTGATGAATTGCATAATCATTTCTCTGATCTGATATTCAATATCTGGTGGCTGATCTCCCACGGGAACTTTAGTTATTCCAGGTAGGTCGATAAGGGTTAGATTTAGCACTGTGTAGAAAGGAGTAAGAGTCTTACTTACAGCTCCGATGCTAAAAGACATGCACTTTGCGGCTCTGCCTGTCACTCAGCTCAGCTTTGTGCTCTGTGCATCCGAATGACTCCAAGCCAAGTGCGTAGAATAAAAAACAGGATACAAAATGGTTTTGCTGGTGTTCTCCATTTTTATGATTGTGCTCTGCCAAGTGATCATTTTAACATAATTTGAAAGGCACTGATTAGCATGCCTAGCAGTTTTCTCAGAGCACTGTCATAGCCTAGCTGTCATAACTAGAGGGTTATAATTAAAACATCAAACAATAAATGTATATGCTGCCTGCCAGTCATGTACAGTCCCTTCAGCTGGCATTACAATTCTCAGGGTAAGATCTGGCCTTCCTTTGAAAGCATCATTTCTTTATAGCATTTCTTAGCTTGCTAGGAAGCTGGTGGCCGCCCATGTGTGGCATGTGCTCCTCACTGTAGTGAGTGGGCTGTGCAGGCAGAGGCAGTGACAGCCTGGCCTTCGTCCTCTGGACAGTGGCACCAGTGAGGAGTCATCCACACTCTGCTATAAAGGTAAAGAGCTGAGCAGAGAACTAGAAATGAAGATCTGAGGCACTAAGGGTCTAGTGAGATTGAAGGTTATTTCCCGACTCATATCAGGAACTGCGGGTCTAATTTATAAGTTTCTGTACATAGTGTAAGATGAACATCACAGCTGTGCCAGGCGTGATGGCACGTGCCTGTGATCCCACCACTCAGGAGGCTGAGGTGGAATGGCCCCAAGTTTGAGGCTACCCTGGGCTAGATAATGAGTTCAAGGCCAGTCTAAGCTACAGAGCAAGACCCTGTCTCAGAAACAAAAACAGAAAAGTCACAGTTGATTCCTAAAGAAAATAAATAGAAATCTGCAGGGCTCCCAGGAAATTAACAAGATAAGACTCAAGCGTAATACTTCTTTCTCTCTCTCTTTTAAGTACTCTTTTTCTTTTTTATATATTTGGTACAGCGTCTCACTATGCAGCTCGGACTCATAGTGATCCTCCTCTTCTCAGCCTCCCCAGCTCTGGGATTATAGGCATGCGCCACCACACTGGGTCTCCTGACCGGCTCAGGGCACCTACGCGCAGGGCCAGCATGGCAAAAACCAGTCCCTGCACTTGCCTATCTCGCCTTCCCTCAATACTAACACTTCTAAGATTTCTGCAAAGATTGAGCATAATAAAACAATGTTTATATATATTCCCTTCAAATACTGAAATATCATTAGACAAAAAGTTGGGTTTTTTTTTTTTATTTTGTGGGGGAAAAAACCCAAAATTTTAAAACAAAATAATAGGAGACTAATAATAGTTACATTGTACATTTTCATTTTCAAAGTAATTACACAGTGTTACATGGTATGGGCATAAAAATTGTCCAAATGATATTACCACAAATCTTTCTCTTTTTTAAATGTCTAACTAGATTCTGATGTCTTAAAAAGTTGTCTCTCCTATCTCTCCAAAAATATTCTAAGAACCCTCTGAAACATACCATTTATAGCAATACCCAAACATTGTCCTAGCACTACTTGTAACTTCCATATAAGTAAGGTGTCTTAATTAAGCTAGGAAAAATGTTTGAGGAGAAGAACGTGGAGTTTTGACACTTTACTTACCATGGGGGGAATAAACTCGTAGGTTGATGGGTATAGGAGAAATGCCTTTATTCATTCCAGTCACTCGGTCTGTTTCTGCTTCAATCTCATGGCGAACTTCATCAAAATCTGTAAACTTTTTTCCTTTGCAATGCAAAAATTCAGCATATTCTGAAAAGCACAAATTAACACAAATTAATCTAAATGTGTGCATCTGTGCCCTAATTATAGGAACATAGTATGTCTTCAGCTACAAGTCAGAATGTTCAGCATTGTCCTTCAGCCATCATAGGAGAGGACATCAGCTCCCAAGCATCACTAGTAGTATTCTAGACATATTAAGTATTGTCTTAGTTACTCTTCTCTCGTTGCTGGGACAAATACCCGACACTCAAAATGAAGGAAGGAAAGGTTTATTTAGCTCACAGTTACTGGAGGTTTCAGTCCATACTCAGCTGGGTCCAACGCAGAGCAGCATGTAGCAGAGGGCAACCTTTCATGGTGGTGGCAAAGAGCAAGCGCGCAAGGGAGGGGTAGCAGCAGCTCAAGAAGCTAGCCTCTCTTCCCACCTTACATTGTAATGCAAATTACCTGCCCCAGGGTAGGGGAAGTACTCACACCTATGGGTACTTCCCAGTACTTACCCACCTATGGGTAATCCCAGCAGTACTAAAACCCATAATCCCAGCCTTGGATCACACATAATCCCAGTGGATCATGAGTTAACACAAACTCTAGAAGTCCTCACCCCATGACTGTATGAGGCTTTGGGGGGACAACTAGACACAAACCATAACAAGTATGCAAAGGCTATGGATGATAAACTTGCCATTCTATAAGACATTCTTAAACCACCCAGCCTCTTAAATACTTTTAAAAGAACCATAGCTGTCTCAATATAGAACAAACAATAGTACCTGATTGTTTAAAAAAAAAATGACACCTGGGTAATTTCATTACCCACCAATCCCATTTGCATTTTTTTTTAAAATTACCATTTCATGACATAGTTATCCAGTATTTTTTAAAGCAATATGTCTTGAATACTATTGGTAATGATATTTTAAATAGTGTTTTTGCCAGTTTTTCTCCTTATCCTAACATAGATTGCACATTTCATTGTAGTACGTAGGAGTTATTCCTAGCTTGTGTTAATGATTCTTGTTATTAGAAGTGTTATCAACAAATAAAAATAAAAAATAAAATAAAATTACCATTTCATTAGGACAGAATAGTCACTTAAAGACATCATCAGCAGGTGAAACAATTTAGAAATAAAATCTGCTTCATTCTTTAAGAAATGATATGTGGAATATTTTGACTTAACATGCTATTAAAAATACCATATGAACTTGTATAATTAGATATTTTATGAAGATAAAAAAGAGGCACATTATTATAGTGTGGAAAATGCTTGCAATCTGAGAAAAACAATCAATACCTAGGCAAGAAGTAAAACCCTAAAACAACCACATAAATAATAGGAAACAAGTGGGTTTTTTTTTAGTTCAGTAAAATCCTACTTACTGTTACACTATCATGATATTTACTCCATAGATATCAGGTAAATGAAACAAAAAAAAAAAAAGACAGAATTCAGTATCTTTGTGTTCCTGTCCCTACCCATGCTATTAGGAAGATTGCCCAAACAAAGCATTGTATAGTAAAAACATTTTCTCAAGTAGTAAATATATACACAATATATGCAGATGAAAATTGGTTTAAAATAATAATTAAAATTACCTGATTATTATGTTAAAATACAATAATTGTTTCTGCAAAAACAAACCTAGTACAGTTAGATGAAAATGGTGATGATAGTTTTAACAAGGGAATAAATGTAAGCAAATATTTGAGCTTCTCTAAGGCCTCTCTGAAGAACTCTTCCACCAAACTTAGACTAAGGCTGAGCACCTTGGGCCAGGACGCCAGGGGAGGTCACTACTAGTACTGCACTCCCGCAGTAGGCGTGAATCTTCCCCTTGAAGGTGACCTAGCAAGGTTGAGGCACGGGGAACAGAGATAGTTTATAAAATGTAACCTCCCCTCCTCTCATTACGTAGTTTAGCCCTAACATGAGGAGCCCAAGATTATATCCAAAGGAGGGAAAAGACTCAGTGTGAACTAAGTGCTGATCTGTACTCAAAATGATAGGAAAGGTTGTGGTAGGAGAGGTGGCTTCAAGATGCACTGAGCAAAATAGGAAGTGGGACATGAACTGCATGGTGGGGGCCGGGGACCGGCGATTGAACCTATATGGGGAGAAAGAAGAATCTTTCAGAAAACGGGAGCATCTTAGTAATTTCGACAATTCCCTGTCAGGCCATCACCCAGCCCCTGCCTGGATTCATCCACTGATGGGGAATTAAGGCTTTGAGCTCTACTTTGAGAGGGAAAAAATCTTACTGGAAAAAATCTATCTTTATGTTGATGTGAAAGCTGTTTTGTCTTATTCTACCGGTCTAGCTGTTGTACCTGGTGCTACTCAGACAATCGCCTTCCATGGCAAGAGGTCCGGCACTACCAAGAGGGTCAACGGCCAGAGTTCGTCGCCTTCACAGACTCTTACTGTGTTTCCTCGCTGGGGGGCTCAAAGCTCAGCCTTCCTTGGGGGTAAAGACTTTACAGATCCACCCCAACTACTGGGAACTGGAAAGGTCAAAGACCCCCAAAGAGGACTATGAATTTTACCAAAGTACTGAAACAACCGAGCTTTTCAAATGTCGGAGCGACAAACTTAATCTCTGACTTTCTTGTCAATGAATGTCTCTCTCTGCCTCATGTCCTCCACCTCACCATCGGTGCCACTTTCTGAAAAGCAGAAGGTTCTCTGCAAAGTTCATTCTTCTAGTGGGGGACAAGGAACAATAAAGATTCGAGGGGAAGCGTGGCCGGAAGAGATCAGGGTGTCATGCAGCAGGGATTTTTCGGATTTACCCTCCCAGGTGCCATTTTTATTACAACATAAATCCCTAGAAGTTAGAGCTTTCATGTAAGAGCTTAAAGTGTACAAAACAGTAAGAAAAAATAAAAAGGGAGAAAGAGGCAGATTCTAGAAATTAAAAAAAAAAGTAAGTGAAAACAAGTCCAAAATATTTTTTTAATTGAGAGTGCACTTTCCAGTTCATTGTATTTGGTGGAAAACACACACTTGAAGACGTATAGACAATCATAATTATTTCTATCATAAATTTCTGAATCAGGGGCAAACTTCAATGGTTAATACTCAACACAATGTGGGCTTCCTTTGTCACCACTAGATGGCGCCTGCTTGCTTTCTCTACAGGAAAGTAAAGCCTTTGCTGAAGGTTGTAAAATCGGTACAATGTTCAAATTAGAATTAAATTTGTTTCTAAACATCTGAAAAATGCTTTTATCTTGGAATTGAAAGATTGTTATTATTCAAGACCATCTCAGACCTTTCTGTCTTTTTGAAGACAGGGTCCTGTCCTGATTTGGAGTTTCTGCAAGGGAAGCAACACAACACAGGACACGTTTTATAAAGATTACGTTATAATGAATCACCCAAAGAATCATCTAAAAAGAGTGCAGAAAATCTGTCCACACACTAAAGACCAAAGAAGCCAGCTGAGGGCCTGGATCCTAATATCTCGCATGAATCCAGCTGAAAACCTAGGGCCCAAGACAAAGCCTCCCACGAGTCCAACTGGCTCTAGGTTTTCAGCTGGACTCACGCACAACAGCTGCTCTGACAGGACATGGTGTTACCTGAAAGTGACTTAAGGAGAAAACAGCACGAGGCACGCTGTCGGTAAGAGCACCCAGGCTGCAGCCCGGCGCGGATGTGTGCGGAGCAGCTGGAAAAAGAACGGCGTGGCTGGAACAGTGGCGCAGGCCAGGGACCTGGGGGCGCTTTGGGCTGCTGGGACCGGATTTCACTCGGCGTGAGACGGGCGACTAGCTGAAGGATTTGGGGCAGAGGGAAAACAGTGGGATCTCGATTTGACGCGAATAACCCCGGCCGCTGTGCCCGGAAAGACAATGGAAAGGAAGAGAGGAAGCCTGATGCTGGAGTCTTCCAGCTCAGAGATGCGACTTTACCGAGGCGATTACAAATGGGGGCTGGGTAATGTTTAAATTCTCATGTATTCTGAAAGGAAGAGAAACAGGATTTACTGATGGATTCAAGCCGGGGTGAGAGGAGAGGTGTCAAGGATAACTTTACAGAGTTTGACTCAAGCTACCTACAGAATTTTGAAACAGAAAACACAGAAGAGGATGGGACAGATTGGGATGGGGGCTGAGAATCAAGAGATGGGTTTGGGACCTACTGACCTTGTCATGCCCAGAGCGTTTTAGGAAGGGATGAGGGTGTGGGCCACACCCATATGCCTTTTTAAAGCTTTCTTCCTAGATGGCTTTAAAACCTGAAAATAAGAGTTTCCCACCCATGTGGAGGAACATTTTGCTGCTAGTGACAACTGTGCTGTTGTGAGAGAGCACTGACCTTCAGCACTCGCGTTCAGTGTCACCACCAGGTGTCTGTTTACTCCAAAAACTCCCCAGAAGATGGCAGCCAAGTGCTTGCAGAAATGGATAGCTTTTTCTAATTAGCACCCAAAAAAATGCCTTGGGGCCTAGATACAGGAGTCCTGGAGAAATATAAGCTAGAGATATATATTTGGGGTTCTTTCAAGTCAGGCAAGAAAATGACACCACTAAGTGAAAGTTAAACGCAGAAGGCATAGAGAAAAGGGAGACTGAAAAGATAGGAGAGAATCCAAGAGAGAGGAGAGCCAAACTAGAGCATCACATGAAAGGAGACCTCCCACTCTGCCAGGCACTGTCAACTGTCAGGTAAGATGAGGGCTAAAACTGGGTAACAGAATTTAGCTACATTAGGGTCCTTGGGAGGTTGAGAGTGAGGCAGGTGACAATGACAAGAGGAAGCAGAGACTAATGACAGGCAAATCCTTCAAGAGGTTTGTTTGTTTATGTATTCAGTACAGGGTCTGCAGAGTCTCACTATACAGATCGAACTCCTAGTGATCCTTCCTGTTTTTAGCCTCCCAAGTGCTGGGATTACAGGCACACACCACCACACCCAGTCTCAATCGCCATCTCTGTGCACCCTGAGGGCGGGGCCAGCATGGCAAGCCAGGGATTGAGCCCCAGCCCCTTCATCTTCCTAAGCAGGCACTTCAATCTGC